CACTCCAGTCTGGGCGACAGAGTGAGACTCCAACGCAAAAAAAAAAAAAAAAAGAAAAGAGAAACCCACATGGACCCAGTCAGGACCCCTGCCAAGCAACAGGCAGAAGGTCATAGCCAGGCAACAAGTGGCAGCAGCCCCTGTTGAGGTCTGACCCTCAACAGGACTCCAAGTGAACAAGGCCTTGTGCTGACAACTCCAGAGTCCCCACCAGGACCCAAGTGCCTGGCTCCTTCCAATGTGAAATGCCCAGTGCTCCCCAAATCATTCTCTCTGAAATTCCCCATCACACAGGAGAGGTCCCCAAAGCCTAAAGAGATTGTGCAGGGCCAAGCCAGACATCCCAGAAGCCAATTCAGGGCATTCTCACATCACACATACTCCGAACTGCACCCAGAACATGACCACCAAAACTGTTGGCAAATAGGCACGGTATTCCAGACTGTGGGTCCCCAGGGCACTCCGCCACACACCAGTTCCTACTTACCAGGAAGACACACCTGCCTACTCAGGACAGCCCTAATCACTTATCCTCAGTGCCCCTCACTCCCAAAGTCCCAAAGTCTTCCAGTTTGGACAAGATGAGATGGGCCTCCTTGACCCCCAAACTCTTATGTTTCTTTTTACTTTTTTTTTTTTTTAGTTAGGGGTTACACTTTATGGCCCAGGGTGGAGTGCAGTGATGCAAGCATAGCTCACTGCAGCCCTCAAACTCCTGAACTCAAGCAATCCCCCCACCAAAGCTTCCTGAGTAGCTAGGACTACAGGCATGTGCCACCATGTCCAGCTAACTTTTAAAATTTTATTTGAACTGGGCATGGTAGCTTATACCTATAATCCTGGTACTTTGGGAGGCAGAGATGGGAGGATTGCCTGAGCCCAGGGGTTCAAGACCAGCCTGGACAACTTGGCCAGAACACGTTTCAACAATAAATTTTAAAAAATTAGCCAGGTATGGTGGCACGTGCCTATTATTCCAGCTACTTTGAAGGCTGAGGCGGAAGGATCACCTAAGCCCAGCAGGTTGAGGCTGCAG